GGTTTACTATTTTCAAGGAATTATTTCGTTACTTTTTAGTGTACTGTTTTTTTGAGAATATTTTGTTTTGTTTTTAGTGCATTTTGTTTTCTATATTTCTGTTTAATTACTTCATTCCATCGATTTCAAATAGATTGTAAATTATCTCGACAATCCGTTTAAGAAAAACTTAAATTATTCTGTGAGTAAATCACAATAACAATTACTTATTTCATTTATTTTCTATTTTTTTTTTAATTTCACAAATGTCTTCTGGCCGTAAAAGCAAATACAGTGCCTTTTGAGGTTCACGTGAGAAAAAAAACTTTTCATTGAACGTCATCGCATGAAACCTTTTTATAGGTTGTTTAAACTTTATCCTATTGTTTTTTTCTATTTTTTAATTTTATTATCTGGTTTACTCAAACAAGGTACTATGACGCAAATTGTAAGCTTAACACTTACGCAGCAATTCTATATAAAATCGTAGTATAAACATATCTTTAAATAGACAGGTTTAATTATAGAGAACAACAAAACAACGTGAGAAAATTCCCAATATAGCCCTAAGATAAACATGCTATACTTAACAGTTTTTAATAACACACTACCGCAAAACCAAACCGGAACATTTTTTGTTTTAATAAAATCTAAAATCGAATTATAAAAATCGAAGCAAAGCCAAATTTTGATATGTACCTGTACAAACTTAGTTCAATTCACTAACCAAAGTCATAGCAGATTTCAGAGCAAAACAAGCAACTGACTTCATTTCCATCCTAAGATGGTTGAATCCTGGAGACTTGGTCTTGCGCCATTGATCACAATGTGCCCTTATCTAGCAAGATATCGCAACGCAACCTTGACTAGATCTTGTCTATTTTGCGGGTGGTTTCCTATACTGCGTCGAATTGTAGGTACTTGGTCGTCATTCTAGGATATAAATCATCATCAGCTCACTACCGCACTGAAGGACACGAAGCCTTTCTTTATTTATTTTTTTATGGAGGGGAATGTTTTATGCATTCTGCGCGCCTTGGGGTCGCGAAGTTATGTGGGATAATCCGCCTAATGTGGCATACCCTCTAAACCACCTCTGGTTCCTCCTATGCATGATGGCGCGGCTACGGGTACGCTATCAGCACTCCTCCGAGGCCCCGCCTGCGCTGGCCGCCGCAGCAGCTCCTCCTCTGGGGGGAGGACTAGCCTCCCCGTAACTTTCCTGGACTAGGCGCACCGAAACTTCAGCGCGCCTTCCACCCGGCCCAAAAGGAGTCGGAGCCTACTCTAAGTTAGGGATGACTAGGTGGTCAACCACTTTGGCCCGGTGGGGGTTGGATCACGATATTTTCCTTCCCCGTAAGAATTTCGGATAAATATACATATGACATTCGGAAATCTCATGGGTGTTAAAATATACCATGTACCTAATGATATATAAATTGTGACGGCGATTGAACCTGGACGTGTATAGATTATGGTCTGGTCTGGTGAAGCGCTTAACCACTGCGCCACCGACGCTCTCAGGATATGCCGAATATTATAAATCCGTTTCATTGCGATAAACATTGCGACATACTTAGAAGAGTGAAACGTCATTTGGTTTATATTTTTTCATTCAATACGTTTTTGTAAATCAACTATTTTCTTTTTTGAAACAGGAAACTTGCTTTTTCCATTGTTTCCCCTTGTTCTTAATAGTTTCGAAATGTAATTTAAATAAAAACAGGAACCATATGAAAGTAACTGATCTTTGCTACTGCCCGCAGATACCTTAATGCGGAAAATTTCAAAAGGACAACCACTCTATGTATGGGTAGTAGTCAGAGATTTTTACTTTTTTTTTTCAAAATAATACTTTAAAAAATATATGCATTAATGCTTTTAAAAATCGATGTTATATCAATTGACTATTGTTAAATATAATTTTATTATTTATTTTTTTTATTAAAATGACAACGTTACAAGTACGTTAAGTATCGACCATACATTTTAAAAGCAGAAAAGTTTTCTTAATTGCTACAGTAACGTAATTCCAACCCTCTAAAATACAAGCTTGATTTTATTTTTAAAGAATAAATATGCTTTATATAAGTCGTAATAAATTTTATTTCTACGGACGATGAATAGAAAAAAAACAGATACAAATAAATGAAATCTCTTTATCGTGTATCGTAAAGACATAAATCGAATGAAAATGAAACAGTCCTCTCCGTACGTTGGCAGTATTGAGGGACCCTCATAAATAACCGATATTCCCGCACCTGTCCTCGGAAAAAACGATCCTGTGGCGGGGATATTACCCTTATACTAGGAAAAACAAAGGATATGTCACAATCAGACTGGACACTTCGTCATTTTACAATCTGACTAATCATACAAACTTCTAAGCTGAACATTGTTTAGTTGCGTGTCGTATTAAACCGAACCCAATATTTTATAGCTTTTATCTATCTAATTTGTCCTTCCAACAGTGTTGAAACTATAGAATTTTTTTAAATATTCAAATATCAGAATATTTTATTTTAACTTCACAATTTGTCATCATTTTTAACAACACTAGTTAGATTAATAAGTG